CCAACCCTTACTTTTTTTTTTTTTTTTTTTTTGGGTGTGGTGGTTTGGGGGGAGGGCTTTGACCAACGGGTGCAAAACTGCGCCATGCACACAACGGCCACAAACGCGGCCTCGCGCGTCAATGAGAGCGACTCCGACACCCAGATGGACTCGGCCGTCGACAGCCGCTGCGACAGCCGGATGCCCTCTTGGCCCGGGCTCTCGCCGTCCCGGGACTTGTCGTCGCTGAGCGTCGAGCTCATGGCGATGGGAGTGATGCTCGCGGGGGGGGGATGTGTGTGTGAAACAGGACGGACGCTGTGACACATGCACGCAGGACGGGGAGGGGGATGGCCTTCTAGAAAATTAAAAACGGCAGTGACACATATACATATACGCGTCAGGACGGGGGATATGAAATCATGCGCCAGGGGGGCGTAAACACCCCGATTCGCGGATATCCTCGTATCGCCGCTGCCCCCCCCTTTTTTGCGTCTCGACGGCTGTTGGAGTTTTTGCGTAAGAGGTCTAGTGTCAGTGTAACATGTATGTACTCCGCAAGAATCGAGTAGTTATTTTGTAGCCGAGATTACCAATCGCTGCGGATGCGCCGACGAAATGGACAAATCGGCATCCCACTACCCGGATGCTATCAATGTGTGTGTGCGGCGGCCCGGCGTGGCATGGGGACCCGTCGGACGAATCGGGGGGCGCGGACCAGGCAGGGATGACGAGGGGACTTTTTTGGACGGCACTTGGAGCCCTGCCATGGATTGTCGAGTTGAATCGTGGTGTCTGGTGGGATAATGTCCGGTTTTGCGGTGTCTTGGAGTTGACCAAGGGCTTGTATGGTTGTTGACGCTTTTCACTGATGCCGAAGGGTGATGATGATGATGCCTGGTTGTGAATACGTGTATACCTACCTAGGTACGGAGTGAGTACTAGTAGGTGGTCAGCTACGATGTGCAGAGTCCAAGACTTTTGATCCGCCGCACATCACCTCAGCCTTACGGGTCGGCAGAATCTCGTGAGTCTCGGGATGCTGCAGGAGCAGGGGAAGTTGTCGGTGGGCCACGATCTGTGTCACGGCGCCTCTTGAGGTGTTTGTGAAGCCGTGGCTTTGACTTGATGTACTCCGTACGAGACATCGGCTCCACTTTTGGTACCAGCCTATTATGACGCGCCCGTGAAGCAGCAGCATGAACGCGTCTGCTGCACTCAAGGTAGATGAAGCAGTCAAGGTCTTCATTTCTCTCTCTCTTTTTTTTTTTTTTTTTTTTTTATATCAACCTACCCCCATGCTCGTATACGCAGTGCATCAGGTAGAGCCCAATAAATTACACACCGTGTGTCTGGCCGTACCGAAACCTGACGTACTGAACAAACATGATGCTGCAAACGCATCGCGATGCGTATCACTTTTCCTCGTTATCTTCGACGTTGGCATCCACCAATCATACCACTATTAGGCTTATACTTGTTTCGTGAAGCCGCTCAAATACTCGTTGCATATGCTGCATCGCATGTGCACTTCGTGTATTCGCACCGCCGTGACGTGTTTGTTCCCTAGGTGTTTGTCTTTGTTCCATGCTTCGTCGGTACGGGCCGCCATATGACGGGACAGGTTCTGCCGCAAGCGCCCCTTTGACACATGTCAAACTGCCCTTTGTTCGCCTCGGCCTCAAACACCTGTTTTGTACATGTCGAGCACGAGTTTGCATGTCCTCGGCACGCCGCGCCGACAGACGCAATCCACCAGCCGCAGCTCATTGTTGTAAAGTGTGTTTGCTCCTGTTCAAATACGATTCAACTGCCACGCGTCTGCTGCTGACCATCACATGCGTTCATCACCCGTCATTATGACAAGGCCGAACAAGAGAACAGGACCAATTGTCACGGCCGTCTCATGACTGGTGGGGGTATCCTGCAAGGAGGGCGCCCGTAGATTCGACGATATGAAGATACTTTGGACAACTTGTATCCAGCCTCACTCAATAAACGAGCAACAGGAGCAGCCAACACTCGTGAAGATGACGGCGGGTGCGGAAAACAAGGGGGGAGGCATAAGCTTGGACTCGTGGCTTGCGTTGAGTGAACAGCTGGGGAACTGGTGTGCGCTGATGCCCATCGCCAAGGAAGTTTGGAGTGTGTTCAGGAGCAGTATCACGACCACGCAGGGCCACCACGGTCAAGAAACGTACAAGGCTTGGAACGCTCCCCTTTTCCATGCGGTCACCGGGCAATCCTGTCAACGTCCTCAACCACCGCGCAGCCAAGTTATTCGACAACGTCTTCTCACTTTACCTCTACACCACCCACTCAACAATAAAGCGACGCTGAGCTTGGAAGTCTACTTCACCCCGTACACCCGGAAAAGAAAAACTGCTACAGCCATCCCAGGCCGCTTCAAAGATGAGCTCCCACGCAGACACGCCATTCACCATTCATCTTTTATGGTACCGCTCGACGGAATGGGCGTTGGCATTTGGGCACGTGGACGAGCCGCCAGAGTGGTGTGACGCCTACGGGCCGGCATACCAAAACGGCGTGGTAGCGCGGCACTTTTAGATTCGCCAGGAACAGCCCGACACAACCGCTCGTCCGCATGGCCCTGCCACTATGCACCATTAATGAAGCTACAATGACGGACATTACACGGCAAATTTTCTTCTACTTCGACGTTGGCGACATCGAGACCGCCAAATCGTTCATTATCAAAGCTTGGGACTGGCTTCGTCGTGAGAAAGTTGTATCCGAGGAAACACATTCCGAGGCCCAGCGCAAGCTGGAAATATGCGACGCGGCACCTCAGGAGACGGACGAGCAAATCTACAAAGTCGTTCAAAGCGAGGGTGGAGTATTCGTTGGGAAAGACTGCAGGGAGTTGTGGTCTAAAGGAAAGCTTGTTAGAAAATGGAAACGCTGCTGCGACCAGTGGTGCGAAGTGAAGATATAAGACACCAGACATGGTTCAGAAGGGGCTTTATCCAACTAGGCAACTACTTCACCGGCTAGCTTGGTGGCTTGGTACGGTTTTCCCCCCTCCTTACGTCTTACAGGAGGATATACTGGTTATATGGGAGTGACGAATGAATCGAATACCTTGTACTTGTATTCCTTTTTTCCCCCTTGTCATGTGTCTGCTATCAACTACTATAATATCGTCTATTTTCTAGTAATTCTGAAAACGCTAAATAAGAAAGAGCCGCTTATTACAGCCATCTCGTGACTAGTAGTGCTCAGTGAGAAAACTACTTGGACCCTTTTATAGGCTCCAGGGCTTCTAACGCATCGCGATGCGTTGATAATATATAACGCGGCATCTTCTAATTCACTGGCTTGGGTGCGGCTAGTTGTCATGCTATTTTCACTGGTCCCTACCTTACGTAGTGCTTGTATGAGCGTCTAGATGGATTAGGTAAAATTCAAAACTTGACGAAGATAACGGCGGGTGTGAGTCTCGATGGGAGGACACGTATCTCAAAGGGGAAGGGTCCAAGTTTGAATTCATCGCTTGTTCAGTCAACCTCGCGTAGTCGGCGTGAGCTGACGTCCAGAGTGTGTTCAGGAGCAGTATCACGACCATGCAGGGCAACAGCCTCGTCTATGCACTGACTGGACGTCCAGAGTGTGTTCAGGGGCAGTATCACGACCATGCAGGGCAACAGCCTCGTCTATGCACTGACTGGACGTCCCGAGTGTGTTCAGGAGCAATATCACGGCCACGCAGGGTCAATCACCGCGGCCAAAAAAAGTATAAAAGGCTTAGAACCCTCCCCTTCTCCCCCTTCTTTACAACCACCATCCAATCTTGTCAACATCCTCAAATTATCAAAAGACTGAGTTATTCCACAACATCTTACTTTACCTTTACACCTCGTGCTTCTTAAACACAATACGAAACCGCACTTGATAATCGACTTTACCACGTACACCTGAAGGACACACAAAAAAAAAAAAAACCCACGATCCACCGCTCCCCAGATCGTTCAAAATGAGCTCCAACACAGCCTCGACTTCTCAAGAGACCCAGAGCCAAGACAAACCGCAGCTCGACGTTTGCCTTGTATGGAGCGGCAGGGGCAAGTGGGCGTTTGGACTTGGAGCACAGGGCTCATGCACACACCCCGACGAGGAGACGGCGGCTTTCGTCGTCTACGGGCCGGCTTTTACTCCAGGCAAGGTCGACGAAGAATATCCCCTGCGGGTAACTGAGAACTGCCCGAATCGACCCGAACCAAGGGTATATGCAAAGATTTGCAACATTGACGCCGATAAGCGGAACGACTTTAAAACGACGATTCTCGCATTCCACCCGAATGTAGAATCATTCCGCGTGGAAGCGAATAAAAGCCCTCTAGTTTTCATGGTACACGCATGGGACTATGTTTATCGGCAGGGAGTCCTCGATAAAAGTCAGTACAATGATGGGAGGGAGGCTTTTTGCACGTGCGTTTCGGAGACCGCCGAGGCGCACAACGCTCGCTCGCTCGCTCGAGAGAATGGAGGAACAATTCGCAGGCGCGGCCGGTCGCCACAGAGATGGCGGGAGGAGAGTAGACGCATCTATCCGTAGTTTTCTTGCATTCGGATTACGGCGCGGCAGAAACCCACGGCTAAGACCAGGCGGTTGAGGGGGGTTTTGTCCAACTGCAACTACCTCGCTGGCTGGCTTGGTAGCTTGGTACGGTTTTCCGCTCTCCATGTGCTGTGGGAGGATACACTTGGCCATGCGGGAGTTGTTGAGAATTGAATATTCTTGTTTATTGGCCGCAACAAGATGGGACCGTGACGCCGAATTTGAGCCACGGTTGCACAGATGAAATCGCTGGGAAACTCGTCGCGGCTGCCACCACTCCGGACTCTGGACACAGTCTTCATAGTTTGGCGTTTGCTGCAAAGCCCCTTCTACAAATTTATCCCGCCATTGAAGCCCTTGCACGACAATCTCACGCGGCCTCGAGGCCTTTTCCACCCAGACTTGAAGCCGACAAGATTCATCACCCGCATGTCGAATAAGCTGCTCCGGTGTTACACAATCACGTGTGAGGCACCATTGTTACAGGGCCCCGTGAGGCACCATATTGCTGTTGCTACGCTGGCACTCTTTAGCTAGCTCTTTTCTTTTGATACATGATCAACTTCTTCACTTCTTTTAGCTCTCTTGCAATACAACTTGTCAGTTGCATCACGAGCTCTTGTGACCTCGTTATAGCTCCCTTCCGCGGTCCCTCACATCCGGCCCCGTACCTTGCACGCGAAATGCCAATTTATTTTGGAACAGAATGTCTACTTTTATCAAAGTGTAGAGTGCTTATGCTGTACCACTGCCAGATTGTATAGAGAGTTTCTTCCCCCATTCTGCAAGTGATCCTCATGCTTCTACTTCCGTACTTCTAGGTGCTGCACCTAGGCATCCTCTTCTCGAATGCCTCATGGCAGCAGTCTCTTGGGTGTGCGAGGATAATACGCCGCGAGGTGCACGCTTGGTAGCCCCAGAATCCACGCAACCACGCGATCAAGACCAATGCCACCTCCGCCATGCGGCGGCACACCGACCTGTTGAAACGTCGTCAAGTACTCCTTGATGCCGCCACTTTTCGGGTCCACACCCTTGGCGCGGATGCGGGCCTCGAGTTCAACCGGGTCATGAATTCGTTGACCGCCCGAGAGCACCTCCTGCCCACGGAGGAACATGTCATAGGCATTTGTAACACGGACACCATCCCCTACCGTAGTACCGGCATCGTCAAGCTTGGCATAGAACGGCCGCGCCGTCTCAGGGAACTTGTCAACGACGAAAAAGTCCGTCTTGTACTTGGCACGAACGACTTGGCCAAGGGCCTTCTCTTGAGGGGTGCTCATATCTTCGTCGTCGCGTACATTTGCGAACTCGGGGGGTCCTTCCTCTCGCAAAAGCTTTTGTGCCTCGGCAAAGGTTAAGCGGACTTCTTTGCCTGGCTCGGGAAGGAGGAGCGGTTCCGAATGGTAAACGGATCGGACTGTCTCAATTTCGTTTGCACATCGCTCTGTATTGGCGGCAAATCCGGTTAGAACATGTACGCAAGCCAGGAATTCTGAAATAATCTCGGCAACTACTATGTAGACGAATGCTGACCTTGGATTCCGCGAAAGATGGACAACAGCACACCCTCCAGTATGGAAAGAACTTCGGTGTAAGAATCCTTGATCTCCATCTCAAGATCAAGCCCTGTAAACTCGGTCATGTGCCTCGGCGTGTTGGAGTTTTCGGCCCTGAAAACGGGGCCTATGCTGAACACACGCTCCCTGCCTCCTGCAATCTCGAATTGTTTGTAGAATTGGGGCGACTGGGCAAGAAAGGCCTCCTCGCCGAAATATGCGAGTCGAAAGACGTTTCCGCCGCCCTCGGACGCCGCACCGATGAGGCAGGGCGGTTCAAATTCCTTGAAGCCGCGGGATTCGAGGTATGAGCGAAAGAGCCTCTTCACTTCGATGCGGATATCCTGTGCCGTGTTAATGAGTACCCAACTCATAGCCCATAAACAAAACAGACGTACCGCAATGGCCTGCTGAACGGGAGCGCGCTTGTGCATGGCAATGTTGTCGAGATGCGTGAGCATGCTTGCGGCTGGCGCCGTATGCTCGGAAGCGGCGTCGGCAACCTTCCCGGCGTCAACATCTCCCGCCTGTTCACTCTCGTCGCTAAAGTTGACGATGGGCTGGCTTGCGGTTCCTATAGTCATTCCAAGTACGGCGGGAGCTGGCGCGAGCACGAAACACTTTGTGATGTGAAGCTCGAATCCCGAGACTCGGCAGCTCTTGACGGGTTCGAGAGGTTTCTTCACCTTGGCCTCGACGGCTACAAAGCTCTCGGGGTTGATGCTGGCTACCCATTTCACCATACGTCGACTGACAAGGGGCTCCTGGTCAGAGGCCATAATGACGCCCTGGATGTCCCAGTTGCCCCCTTTGCGGAGCTCAACAAAGCCCATCTTGGCACTCTGTACGCGAGACTTTTGAAGCCATGCGCGCACAATGACCGTCTTTTCATTGTAGGTTTCGTCAATGGAGCGTATTTCGACTTCTTGGGCGTCCTGACTGAAGGCCGAGGCCGTGGTCTGCCTGTTCCCGTAGTTGTCTTTGGCGGGGTCGTCCTCGAGATTGACGGCGGCGGCTGCGGCAGCGAGTTCTGCAGCACGCTGGGCTTTCAAAGCCTCCTTCTTCGCCTTGGCCTCGGCCTTCTTCGCGCCCTTCTTTGACGTAGGAGCGCTCGACTCTTCCATGATGCTGGTGTTTGTCGTAATTGGTGACTGTAGGCAATATGCAAAAAAAAATCCATACGGTTGAGGGGTCGTGGAGGGGTAACGAGGGGCAGAGTCATAACTACTACCACGTGACACTTTATTGATTCCTTGGCCCCCTGATCCAAGTTGAGATGCACACTCGGTACTTACCAACTAGGCTGAGGTTGGGTACCATGAGAGGACTATCCGAGGATTACCTACCAGACCCTTTACACAAGCAGTGAGACAATTGAATAGCGCAGAAGAGCACGGTCCGCGGGGCAGGCAGCGGAGCGATATTTCAAGGAATAACCCTAACCCCAACCATAACCAAAACATCAAGAGTTGCAAGGCACCAGTGGCAGGCATTGATTCCAAAGCCAAACATGTATCAGTCGAGCCAAAGAACAGCAAGTGATGAATTTCTTGCTAGTTGACACCGTGTCATCGCCATGTCGATTGCTTCCCTCTGCTGAGACAAGGTTTGACGGTGGCTTCGCGTGGCTGTCTGCCTGAGAACCATTACGAATTGACGGGCGGATGAACTCACAAATCATCCAACCCAACCCACTGCAAACCAGATGAAGAGGCCATCATGATCAAGTTGATCAATCTCATCGCCATCACGGCCGCTGTCACAGCTGCTGCCGGTGAAACGGTTCCTGTTTACTACCTGATTCGCCACGCAGAAAAGAATGCAGACGGGACAATATCCGCACAGGGCCGGCAGCGCGAGCAGTGCTTGGTGAAGCTTTTCAGCAGGAACAGCAAATACAACATCCAGCACATCATGGTGCAGACACCGTATCCAGGAGGTATATCTCGCCTTTTCCGTTGTTGAAATCCTAATAATAATGCTAACTTTGTCTCCTTTGCCGGAAAGATTCTGCCCAAGACCACACCACCCAGCGTCCATACAACACCACCCTGCCGCTGGCTGAGTCGCTCGGCATCAGGATTGACCATCCTTGCAATTATACTGATACGTCGTGCGCTGGTCAAGCAGCTTTGAGCTACACTGGTCCCGGTAACGTGCTCATCGCCTGGGAGCACCAACACCTGCCGGCTGTTGCGGAAGCTATCGGCGGCCAGGACGTGCCAAGTTACCCCGGTGAGAATGAACCATACTGGCGCCGACTGTTGGTGTCGCTAACGAGCTGCTAGATTCGCACTTTGACCTCATATATAACCAGCCACTGCCGTACACAAAGGTAACAGTTACCTCCCAAGATTGCGCTGCCATCGGTACGGCCAGCATGAACAGTTCGAGTACAACCAGTGCGACCGGTTCAGCCACTTCATCCAACGTCGCACGGCAGGCAAATACACCGAAATGGACTTTTAGTATTGTTGCCGTCGGTATCGCGGCCCTGATCTCTTTGTAGAATGAGTGATGCTTGAAATGGGCTCGAGTGATGGCAGCAGCTTTTTGTCGCTTCTTCCATGTGTTTAGGTTCTTTATCCGTGGGATTTGGACCATACCTTCGTTAAAGATCATACTAGCTTTTCAATTAACCTAGATCAACTGACTGTAAAGACTCGGCACCGGGTACGGAAGAGTGTCGGGTCGATAGGCAGAAGTTGCGCAGGCAGAATCACGAATCCAGCAAGTATGCGTTACCAAAATATGAAACTTTGTCCGTCCAGGCCTCGGAAGATGTGCCAAAATCAATAGCAAGTCGTTCTCATTGCTCAATAACAGGAGAACATGCTAAATGTATCCAAAGCAGTGAGGCTATTTCCATAAATAATACCAGTAGTTTGATTTGGACACTCCTGAAAGACTTCCATCGCCTTCTCTACTGCAGAACTGTGACCTGGCAAGCGAAGCAGACCTAGCCAACTGATATCTGTTCTCCATGGCACGACTGCTTCCGTCTGCGCTGACACTGGTAATATACGAGCTTCCTAGACCCGAGCAACGCTTTTGGCTCCCACGCAACCCAACAATGTGCGGGTTTCAGAACGCATCGCGAGTTGGCGGGGCCGGAGGCATGATCATTTCAAGTCTCGCCAATCCCAGGACGAACTTTCCCAGTTTGTACAGTTGGCTGATCTCTTGTACCTTGAGATAGATCCAACCAACCTTCTTTCTGCACCCTGCGCAAGAGATACCACGAATGACGTGCCAACCCGTGCTCATGAAAACCTGCATGGGACGTCCCGTGGCAATATTTTGGACTTGAGCGATGAGAATGGCCGGGCCATGTCGCCCAGTGAATCCTGCGGGCTCCATTAGTACAAATCGGTTTAGTGGTTTCCAAGGGGGGCAAGGGAAAGCGTACTCTGCTCTCAACGTCTCTTTCATCGCCCAGAACAGTTCTGCACGTCTTGCAGAGGAGCATTTTGTAAGGCCCTGAACTCATGGTGATTGGCGGGGGGTTTCGTCACGCTTTGATTCAATGTTTCGGGATTGTAGAAGGAGAGGTTTAATATAAGAGTTGAGAATGTGTAAAGACTAACAAGGTTTGGGGGCCATGAAACTGACTTCTTCAAGATGGAACCAACTTTCAGGTTTGACGTGTCAAGTGGTTTCTCCATGAGGTCGACGGGAGTATACATTTCGCTGTAGCTTGGTTTAGCGCGAGATGGCTTCGAATAATGTTTTGTCCTTCTGGATGAGGCTAATAATTGTTTGGACCAAAGAGCAAAGGACTAGGCTTGGAAGTACATGATATGGAGCGTAATGTGGGTTATGAATTGTTTTTCCAAACCTGTAGAAGCAGAGAAGGACGCCACGCTATGTCAAATGGGCTTGTTTGCACATGGGTTTGGGTTCTCATCTTCTCAGACTTGTATAAGATGGCAAAGGTTCCCGGGATCGAAATTCCGGGTTGTACTTTGAACCTAAATTACAGTAAGCACGCTCAAGAAACCTCTAGCTTGGTCATAGAATTACCGTACCAGCGTTGTGGCCTAGACGCCCGATATCTCTTGTTACGGTCGACTCATTACCAACAGCCTAGTCTCAATTGAGACGGGACTCGGGAACCAACTCACTTGGTCCTAGTACGGGGGGAAATCTTGATGGCTTCAAGCTTCAAACTCGCTTCTCCGCCCCACGTGGCGGATTGTCCGGCTTCAACTCACCACGTCGACGAATCCAGTATTCATGGAGCATGTCGTGCTTCCAAGCCGAGGTGCGCAGAGTAATGCGTCTGCACCATTCATTCTCTAGCCATGCTCGTCGGATAGGAAATGTGCATGGATCACGACTGCCGCCATGTCAGCTCGTCGCGCGACTCGCATCGCGAGGCCATGGCCAAGTCCGCCTTCAACGGACCTACAGCTCCCCCAATGTGGCCGCCAATAGCCCGGCTACGGCGCAAAAAGGGCTCTTCGACCTCGCCATCGACATCTCTCGGACGCTGATGAATGGCAATGTAGAGATGCAATTCACGCAGTTTAACCCCACGGGTGTAGCCACTTCCAAGAGCTTGACCAAGGTCGGCATCGCCCACGAGTACCTCTTGAGCGCTCGGGACTTGCGCATAATTGACCTGCCATCTAATGGATTTCCGCACATCCTGATCCGAGAAGACACCTTGCTGATGCACTTGTTCGATTTACGACTCCTCGTGCAGGCGGACAAGGTTCTGCTGTTCAACGTGGACGGCGTCGAGGACAACACCACCCGCCGCGTCTTCACCCACGATCTCGAAGCCAAGCTTCACAGGCCGCAAGCACCGTACAAAAGGGCAACCGAGGCGTTTGAGCTGCGTGTCGTAGAGGTCGCCCTTGCGTCGGTGACGTCGACCCTGGAAGCCGAGTACCTGCTCGTGAAGTGAGAGGTGTCGAGGGCCTTGAAAACCCTCGACCAGCAAATGGCGGACAAAGAAGGGGCGCTCGTCTACTCGGCGCTTCGAGAGCTGCTGGACATTTCTCGAAGACTCGCCCGCATCGAGAAGCGCGCGCGGCTCGTGCGCAATGCCATCCAAGAGGTGCTCAATGACGACGCGGACATGGCCGACATGTATCTCACCGACAAGCAGCGCGGCCAGCGCCACTTGGCCCACGAGCACCAAGAGGTAGAGTACCTGCTCGAGGCGTATTTCAAAGCCAACGATGCCATTGCGCAGGAAGCGGCCAGTCTGGCGGAGAATATCCAGAGGACAGAGGAGACGGTCAAGTCGATTCTGGACGTTCGGCGGAATCAAATCATGCTCCTGGAAGCCAAGGTGGAAATTGCCATGCTCAGCTTGGCCGCGGCAACGCTTGTAGCGGGCTGGTATGGCATGAATGTCATTAATTACTTTGAGCAGAGCCCTCTGGCGTTTGCAATACTCGCTTCGGGCTCCCTGGTTGGCAGTGCGCTGATATGGAGGTCCATGATTCGGCGTTTGCGGCTCATCCAACTGCGTACTACTAGAAGGGAATAGTTGTCTGTATAAGACGGTAGGAACAAATATGGTATACTTGTTGGCGCGCGGGGGCTTCCGAATGGGATGTTGGGTCGTATGCGAGTCGGGAAGTTTTCGTGACTAAAACCGGTGGGATTAAACCGAGAACATTTGATTGATTCGTACGTGCTCGATTCTACAAGTGATTTGATTAATATTCTGTGGCAGCTTTTTTGCACACAAAAATCAGAAAAGTAAGGAGAATCTACTTAATTGCAGCTTTTGTCAGAGGCCACAGAGAGAGAGCGCCAAGATGTGCACACATATCAGCTGGATATCGGGATATTCGGCCATGGGCCGCTATTGTTGCATCTTTTTTTCTCCGTGGCTCGGCGATTAAACCTGGTAAACACTCTGACAGCTTTACATATACTATAGAGACTTACTTCTCTTAATTGAAGTAATCAAGTTTCGCTCTTTTCAGCACTCTAAAGGTATCTTGGCCTGGAATCTATTAATCTGTTTAATAGTTCCCTTGTACTACCTATATTGTTTAAGCGAATTGCTTACACTATATAGCTATTCAATCGCTGTGTAGTGTAATCTTTATCTTATTATTCTTAATACGCTTTGTAAGTATTCAATTAATATTTCCTAATTTATTTGGCGCTTACTTGAGATTTCTATCGCCACGGGCTTGAGTTATGTTGTAGTGTTGTCCACGGGGACCATTCTGTACAGTCTATTATGTGGTTTGCCTGTTGCTTTTGGGTCAGCAAGATGTAAGTTTATTGTTTCTCTGCTCCAACTCGTGTGCTCTGGCTTGCTGCAGAGACGGTTGCAATCTCGAGCTGGGAACGGGCTTCTGTTCGCGGGGGGAAACATGGACTATTTGAGAGATGGTGTTTTACAAAGATGTACTTTGAGTGATCAAGCTACTTTTTACTTGTTTCGCATTTCGAGTTAAAAAAGGTTAAATGACGATGCTAAGCATACATTCACCTGTTCCCTGATACCGCCGACCTTCTTTCCTTGCTTTATTATCACAAGCTCCGATGCTCTTCTACACTATCCCAACGCTTGTTTGGTACTAATGCAACTTCACTCAGTCATGTCCTGCCATTACGAACATGATCAAAACAAAGTATATTGTTTACTGCGGTAAATATATCCAACCCATTAACCTAGATGCCCAGAAAAACCTACAGATTTGAGAAATATTCAATCACAGCGGGAAAGTCAGGAGTCCCCAGTCCAGTAACGGGGTCCCAGCCCTCGACAGCAGAGAAGCCATTGCCATTGCAAGCAGAATCGCCCGACTGGCTGCCGAGAGTCACGTCCTTGAACATGGAGGGGTTCTTGTACAGCGCCGGGTTGGCAAAGCCAATAGGCTTCTTGCCTGCCTGGAGGCGCACCTCGTTGACGCGAGTAAAGATGGCGGCCACGATGGGCGCGGACATGGAAGTACCGCCGGTTCGACCGGCCTGGCCGTTGAGCACAATGACGCCGTAGTCGCCGATGGCAGAAATGTCAGGGAACCCGCGGCCGGCTCGGTTGTAGATGCCGCCGTCAGAGGGGATGTTGTTGTCGCTGGTGTTGTAGCTCTGGAAGCCGGGGTCGTTGGACGAGAAGAAGGACGAGACGGCAGCCTTTTGGTAGTCGGGCGAGGTCCAGATGTTGCTGAAGCCGCCTCCGGAGCCGAACCTCTCGGTGGCAGACTCGGGGGCGCCGGGTGAGCTGCCCGGGGGCAGGAGGGTGGCCCCGACCGACGTCACGTACGGGCACGATGCAGGGCTCGCTGGGTTGAAGATGTCGCCGTTGCCTAGGCAGTCGCCTCCGTGGCCGCCGGGGGA